TCGGGACTTGCTGATTCAAGAGCTGTTGGCCTGCTTGGTGGATCAGACAAACCTCTGCAGGCTCAGGTAGGGGAGCATGGTGCCACACAGCGGTTCTAACTTGAGCTTCGGTAACAGACATAGATTCAGATCTTTGCCGCTCCACGTGCTGGCTGATTACTAGCCTTTCCGAACCTCAGTGTTTTCATTAAAATCAGAGGTATAGAATCATTTCAAGGGATTGTTGTGAGATTTAAATAAGAGAATGCAAGTGGAAAAATACAAAAAAAAAAACAAAAGAAAAAAAAGAGGCCGGGCGCGGTGGCTCACGCCTGTAATCCCAGCACTTTGGGAGGCCGAGGCGGGTGGATCACGAGGTCAAGAGATCGAGACCATCCTGATCAACATGGTGAAACCCCGTCTCTACTAAAAATACAAAAAAAAATTAGCTGGGCATGGTGGCACGTGCCTGTAGTCCTGGCTACTCGGGAGGCTGAGGCAGGAGAATTGCCTGAACCCAGGAGGCGGAGGTTGCGGTGAGCCAAGATCGTGCCATTGCACTCCAGCCTGGGTAACAAGAGCGAAACTCCGTCTCAAAAAAAAAAAAGAAAAAAGAAAAAAAAGACAATTCAAGCGGAGACCTGAGGGCCACATTTGAGGAGTAATAACAGCTCAGCAAGGTTAGCAGCTCTGATTACTATTTGTTCTTCCTCACTCTTCCGGGCGAGGTACTGCTCTCTTCTCCCCTGCCTGTCCCTACCCACCGAGCTGAGCCCATCCTGTGTCCTGCCTGTCCCTACTCACCGAGCTGAGCCCATCCTGTGTCCTGCCTGTCCCTACCCACCAAGCTGAGCCCATCCTGTGTTCTGCCTGTCCCTACCCACCAAGCGAGCCCATCCTGTTCTTTCTCTGTACTCTTGGACCATGGCACCTTCCTGGCGGTGGGAACCTGCATGGTGGGAGCCATGTTGCCTTACTCTGCAGCCACTGCTAGCTTCAATGGTCTCTAGAATCTACCTCACCAGCTAGAAAATTCTTCAGTCCATTCCTTATGTCCCAGAATTGAGGGACTAAATGTTATGAAGAGACCTGTCCACTTAAAGGGTGAGACAGGAATCTCATGACACAGACAGGAGGCATGGAAGCCAAAACACTTTCGAGTTTGATGCTGAGCAACTGGGGAGTGACTGAGGGGGCAAATCTGGGTCAGGAATCTCAGGAAGGGAAGAAGGGACAGGAGTGTGAGCAGATCAATGGAGGAGAGGGTGTGCAAAAATCTCTGTAGGGAGGTAGATAACAGTCTCTGTACTTTTGTGAATTATTTTGATTACTTATCATTAAAATGGTGATTTGACAGGGCAGAGATGGGAGCATTTGCTTGCGGCCAGGAGTTCCAGACTGCAGTGATCTATGATTACACCTGTAATTAGTCACTGCACTCCATCTTGGGCACCACAGTGAGACTGTTTCTTAAAAACTAAGTAAATTGGCCGGGCATGGTGGCTCATGCCTGTAATCCCAGTACTTTGGGAGGCTAAGGTGGGCGGATCACCTGAGGTAAAGAGTTCAAGACCAGCCTGGCCAACATGATAAAACCCCATCTCTACTTAAAATGCAAAAAAAAAAAAACAAAAAAAAAAAACAAAAACCAAACAAACAAAAAACCTAAGTAAAATGATAACAATAAAAAATGTTTAAAAGGTGATTTAAAGTTAGGAGGGATTCAACAGTGGCTGGGTCCCAGGAGAAATGTGCTTGGCCGACTCCAAATCCATAACAACCTTCCTCTCTACCACTTCTCCTTTCCCCACTCTCCCAGGTCTCGGTGACTCTGACCACACCCAGCTCAGCACTGGATTCTGCCTTCACTTAGCTCCTGCCTCAGCCCCACTCCGGAGGAGCCAAGAAAAGCCAAACCAATAAAGTCTATGCTGAGATAAGTTGAGTTCATTGTGAAAATTTATTCAAATGACTACTGAGCACTAACAGGGCACGTTTGTCTTTGTGTATCTCTGTATGTGCTGGCACCACCCAATGGAAAAGAAATATGGTCTGGGCAGGGTGGCATATGCCTCTAATCCCAGTACTCTGGGAGGCTGAGGCTGGAGGATTGCTTAACCCCAGGGGTTCGAGACCAGCTGGGTAACATAGTGAGACCCTCGTCTTTTTTTTTTTTTTTTAAATGGAGTCTCATTCTGTTGTCCAGGCTGGAGTGCAATGGCATGATCTTAGGCATGAGCCATAGCACCAGCCTGAGACCCCATTTTTAGGATAAAATAAAAAAAAGGAACGGGTTCGATAGTGCAAGCCTGTCATACCAGCGCTTTGGGAGGCCGAGGTGGGCGGATCACCTGAGGTCAGGAGTTTGAGACCAGCCTGGCCAACATGGCAAAATCCCATCTCTACTAAATGTACAAAAATTAGCTGGGCATGATGGCAGTCACTTGTAGTCCCAGCTACTCCAGAGGCTGAGGCAGAAGAATCACTTTGACCCAGGAGGCATCACTTTGATCCAGGAGGCAGAGGTCGCAGTGAGCTGAGATTGCGCCACTGCACTCTAGCCTAGGTAACAGAGCAAGACTCTGTCAAAAAAGAAAAGAAAAAAGAAAATATGGCCGGGCGCGGTGGCTCAAGCCTGTAATCCCAGCACTTTGGGAAGCCGAGGTGGGTGGATCACGAGGTCAAGAGATCAGACCATCCTGGTCAACATGGTGAAACCCCATCTCTACTAAAAATACAAAACATTAGCTGGGCATGGTGGCGCGTGCCTGTAAATCCCAGCTACTCAGGAGGCTGAGGCAGGAGAATTGCCTGAACCCAGGAGGTGGAGGTTGCGGTGAGTCGAGATCGCGCCATTGCACTCCAGCCTGGGTAACGAGTGAAACTCTGTCTCAAAAAAAAAAAAAAGAAAAAAGAAAATATGGCTGGGTGGGGTGACTCACCGCCTGTAATCCCAGCACTTTGGAAGGCTGAAGTGGGTGGATCATTTGAGGTCAGAATTCGAGACCATCCTGGCCAATGTGGTGAAACCCTGTCTCTACTAAAAATACCAAAAAAAAAAAAAAAAAAGAGTCAGGCATGTTGGCACACACCTGTAATCCCAGCTACTCAGGAGGCTGAAGCATGAGAATTGCTTGAACCTAGGAGGCAGAGGTTGCAGTGAGCCAGATTTTGCCACTGTGCTATATCCAGCCTGGTGACAGTGAGACTTTGTCTCCAAAAAAAAAAAAAGGAAACATGGTTTTTATTTGCATCTGTTAACTCATCTGCTTACTCTACAAACCCTTATTGGAAAGTAAATATTGGCAGAGCTGTGCTAAACACTGTATATTCAGCAATGAAGAAAATGGACACAATCTGCCAGTTAGAATGGCAATCATTAAAAAATCAGGAGACAATAGATGCTGGAGGGGGTGTGGAGAAATAGGAATGCTTTTACTCTGTTGGTGGGAGCGTAAATTAGTTCAATCATTGTGGAAGACAGTGTGGCGATTCCTCAAGGATCTAGAACTAGAAACACCATTGGACCCAGCAACCCATTACTGGATATATACCCAAAGGATTATAAATCATTCTACTATAAAGACACATGCACACATATGTTTACTGCGGCACTATTCACAATAGCAAAGACCTGGAAGCAACCCAAATGCCCATCAATGATAGACTGGATAAAGAAAATGTAGGCTGGGCACGGTGGCTCATGCCTGTAATCCCAGCACTTTGGGAGGCAGAGGCAGGCAAATCACAAGGTCAGGAGTTTGAGACCAGCCTAACCAACATGGAGAAACCCCATCTCCACTAAAAATACCAAATTAGCTCGGCATGGTGGCACATGCCTGTAGTCCCAGCTACTGGAGAGGCTGAGGCAGGAGAATGGCTTGAACCCGGGAGGCAGAGGTTGCAGTGAGCCGAGATTGTACCATTGCACTCCAGCCTGGGTGACAGAGCAAGACTCCATCTCAAAAAAAAGAAAAGAAAAGAAAATGTGGCACATATACACCGTGGAATACTATGCAGCCATAAAAAAAGGATGAGTTCATGTCCTTTGTAGGGACATGGATAAAGCTGGAAACCATCATTCTCAGCAAACTGACACAAGAACAGAAAACCAACAAAACAAAAAAAAGAACAGAAAACCAAACACTGCATGTTCTCACTCATAAGTGGATGTTGAACAATGAGAACACATGGACACAGGAAGGGGAACATCACACATTGGGGCCTGTCAGGGGGTGGGGGGCTGGAGAGGAATAGCAGGGGGTCAGAGGATAGAGGAGGAATAGCATTAGAGATACCTAATGTAGATGGTGGGGTGATGGATGCAGCAAACTACCAATGCACATGTAAACCTATGTAACAGGACTGCACGTTCTGCACATGTTCCTCAGAACTTAAAGTAGAATAAAAAGAGAGAAAGAAAGTAGACACAGGCTGGGCGCGGTGGCTCAAGCCTGTAATCCCAGCACTTTGGGAGGCCAAGGCGGGTGGATCACGAGGTCAAGAGATCGAGACCATCCTGGTCAACATGGTGAAACCCCGTCTCTACTAAAAATACAAAAAATTAGCTGGGCATGGTGGCGCGTGCCTGTAATCCCAGCTACTCAGGAGGCTGAGGCAGGAGAATTGCCCGAACCCAGGAGGCGGAGGTTGCGGTGAGCCGAGATCGCGCCATTGCACTCCAGCCTGGGTAACAAGAGCGAAACTCCCTCTCAAAAAAAAAAAAAAAAAAGAAAGTAGACATAATCCTTGCCCCCAAAGAGCTTAAAGTCTGGTGACAAAGAAAGACTTCTAATTTTTTGTAGTTTTATTTGTTAGTTTTTCTAGGACAGAGTCTTGCTGTGTTCCCCGTGCTGGAGTACAGTGCTGCAGTCATAACTCACTGCAACCCCGAGCTCCCGGGCTCACGCAGTCTTGCCACTTCACCCTCCTGAGAAGCTGGGAGTATTTGGGACTGCAAGCATGTGCCACCACACCCAGCTAATTCAAAAAAAAAAAATTGTGTGTAGAGAAAAGATCTGATCCTTTTGTAGTGCATGAGTGTGATGACTCGGTGTTCATGGGCATGTGTGAGATGTGCCACCCTTGAACCTGTTACAGTGTTGCCACATTACCATTCTGAGATGAAGAAAAAAAAGAAAAAAGCTCTCAGCCAGGTGCAGTGGCTCACGCTTGTAATCCCAGCACTTTGGGAGGCCAAGGCAGGTGGATCAAACTCCTGAGGTCAGGAGTTTGAGACCAGCTGGGCCAGACTAGTGAAACCCCATCTCTACAAAAATTAAAAAAAAAAAAATTAGCCAGGCATGATGGCAGGTGCCTGTAATCCCAGCTAGTCGGGAGGCTGAGGTGGGAGAATTGCTTGAACCTGGGAGGCAGAGGTTGCAGTGAGCTGAGATTGTACCACTGCACTCCAACCTGGGTGACAGAGTGAGTCTCCATCTCAAAAGAAAAAAAAAATTCAACTTTTATGTTAGGTACAGATATTTATGTGCAGATTTGTTACACTGGAACATTGCATGATGCTGGGGTTTGGTCCTGTCACCCTGATAGTGAGCACAGTACCTGATAGGTAGTTTTGTAGGCTTGTTTAGCCTTTTAATTTTCTACCTCATGAAAGCAGTGCAGTGCATGGTTAATAACAATTACTATATTATCGTTATCTTAAAGGGTTATGATAAGGTTTTAAATGAGATCGCCATGATGAAAAAAGGAAGATAATGTTTACAAAATGCCTAGCACAATACCAAGCCCACAGTAAGAACACTGTACAAATGGAAAAAAGCTAATGTCTTTTTTTAGAGTTGGGGGTTTCCCTCTGTTGCCTAGGCTACAAGTACAGTGGTGTGATCATGGCTCAGAGCAGCCTCAAACTCCTGGGCTTGAGATCTTCCTGCCTCAGGACTCCACCCACTTCTGCTCCGTGGCTGGGATCATATTAATAGGTGTGAGCCGCCATGTCCAGCTCAAAACTAACCTTTTGATTCACCAACATCCTCCAAAGATATCCAAGATCCCAGAAATGTAGACTCAAATTTCTCCCCAAGACAATCAGTTCTATCATGGAGAATCACTAAAACACACCCTCTGAACAAAGGCTTGCTCTGAATTGTGTGTACAGACTCCAAGAGCTCCAGGAATTTAAAGGAATAGAAACCAAGGATGTCAGAGCTGAAAGAAACCTTAGAAGTCAACTGGAGGCTAAGTGCCGCAGCTCACACCTGTAATCCCAGTACTTAGGGAGGCCAAGGTGAGAGGATTGCTTGAGCCCAGGAGATCAAGACCAGCCTGGGAAAGAAAGCCAGACCTTGTCTCTATGATAATTTTAAAAAATTAGTCAGGGACGGTGCCATGCATCTGTAGTCTCAGCTATCTGAAAGGCTGAGGTCAGAGGATCCCTTAAGCCCAGCAGTTCAAGGTTGCAGTGAGCTATGATGGTGCCACTACATTCCAGCCTGGGTGACATAGTGAGACCCTGTCTAAAAAAAAAAAAAAAAAAGAAAAGAAAATTAAGACTGGGTGCGGTGGCTCATGCCTGTAATCCCAGCACTTTGGGAAGCTGAGGCAGGCAGATCATCTGAGGTTGGGAGTTCGAGATCAGCCTGACCAACATGGAGAAACCTGTCTCTTCTAAAAATACAAAATTAGCCAGCCATGGTGGCACATGCCTGTGATCCCAGCTACTCAGGAGGCTGAGGCAGGAGAATTGCTTGAACCCTCAAGGTGGGGGTTTCGGTGAGCTGAGATCATGCCACTGCACTCCAGCCTGGGCAACAAGAGCAAAATTCTGTCTGAAAAAAAAAAAAAAAGGAAAATTAAAAGACCATGTTCTTAGCCACCTTGCCACAAAGCCAATGAGTCACTTAAAGCAAATGAGGGATTCCATAATGGTTAGCATTCAGTGATGTGCTGGAAGCAGGCACAGTGGTGCATGACTTTGGCCCATCTACTCGAGAGACCGAGGCAGGAGGATCACTTAAGCCCGGTTGCTCAAGGCTGTAGTACCCTGTGATGGCACCTGTGAATAGCCACCATACACCATTCTGGGCAACATATCAAGGCCACGATCAGAGTATTTATGCCGTGGACATAGGCAAGTGCTACAAATCAGGCTTCCCTTTTCCCAACTTGGCAAGGTAGTTGTTAAACACCAGGATATCACTGGTCAGCATATTTTCTCTAAAATTATAAAAGAGTACAAATGTATCTACATAAGAGGATGAGCATGTCTGCTTGAGTATGGCTAGGAGCTGAGATCCACTTTGTGCATCTAAGGGACTAGGCTTAGCTGGTCAGGGTGGCAAGCCAGGTGTGGTGGCTCACACCTATAATCCCAGCACTTTGAGAGGCCAAGGCAAGTGGATCACCTGAGGTTAGGAGTTCAAGACCAGCCTGGCCAACATGGTGAAACCTTGTCTCTAATAAAAAGACCTGGGCTGGTGGCGAGCACCTGTAGTCTCCGCTGCTTGCGAGGCTGAGGCAGGAGAATCGCTTAAATCGGTTTAAAAAAAAAAAGAGGCTGGGCGCGGTGGCTTACGCCTGTAATCCAAGCACTTTGGAGGCCAAAGCGGGTGGATCACCTGAGCTTGGGAGTTCAAGACCAGCCTGACCAACATGGTGAAATGCCGTCTTTAAAAAAAAAAAAAAAAAAGAGGCCGGGCGCAGTGGCTCACGCCTGTAATCCCAGCACTTTGGGAGGCCAAGATGGGTGGATCGCCTGAGGTCAGGAGTTCGAGACCAGCCTGGCCAACATGGTGACACCCCATCTCTATTAAAAAAAAAAAGCCGGGCGCGGTGGCTCAAGCCTGTAATCCCAGCACTTTGGGAGGCCGAGGCGGGTGGATCACGAGGTCAAGAGATCAAGACCATCCTGGTCAACATGGTGAAACCTCGTCTCTACTAAAAATACAAAAAAAAAAAATTAGCTGGGCATGGTGGCGCGTGCTTGTAATCCCAGCTACTCAGGAGGCTGGGGCAGGAGAATTGCCTGAACCCAGGAGGCGTAGGTTGCGGTGAGCCGAGATCGCACCATTGCACTCCAGCCTGGGTAACAAGAGCGAAACTCCGTCTCAAAAAAAAAAAAAAAAAAAAATAGATTTGGCTTCAGATAACAGGAAAACACAAAATAATAGTGGCTTTAATAAGACGTTACATTATTTTTCTTTCTCACAAACTCTTAATACTTACCTGGCAGGGGGGATACCATGATCCTGAAGGTGGTTTTCTCAGGGCAAGGCTCATCCATTGCACTCTGGATTTGCTGACTCCTGTGATTTCCCCTAATGTGGGAAACTCAACTGCGTAGTTTGTGGTAGTGGGGGACTGTTCGTGCTCTATTAAAATAAAAATAAATTTAAAAAAAAAACCACTCAGAGACTGGTGGCCTAGGGCTGGTATGACAGCTCTGCTCCATAAAATCCTTAGGGATCCAGGCTCATTGGACTTATGGTTCCACCATTCCTCTAAGGTCCAAAATGGCAGCTAAATGTCCTGCCATCAATGCTGTCATCCTTTTTTCATCCTTTTACTTGAAGCCTTCGTAGTAAAATTCACATTCATGATTTCACTGTGTTGATTCCAAATCTGTAACTCAGTCCAGCTCTTTTTATTTTTATTTTTCTTGAAGCAATGTCTTGCTATATTCTCCAGGTTGGTCTTGAACTCCTAGCCCCAAGAGATCCTCCCAGTCCAGCTCTCTTTTTGTTTTTTGAGATGGAGTTTCGCACTTGTTACCCAGACTGGAGTGCAATGGCCATGGCACGATCTCAGCTCACTGCAACTTCTGCCTCCTGGGTTCAAGCAATTCTCCTGCTTCAGCCTCCCAAGTACCTGGGACTACAGGCACATGCCACCACGGCCAGCTAATTTTTTTGTATTTTTAATAGAGACAGGTTTCACCATGTTGGCCAGGCTTGTCTCCAACTCCTGGCGTCAAGTGATCCACCTGCCTCAGCCTCCCAAAGTGCTGGAATTACAGGCAGGAGCCACTATGACTGGGGCATTTTTTTTTCTTTTTCTTTTTTTTTTGGTTTTTTTTTTGTTGTTGTTGTTTGTTTGTTTGTTTTTGTTTTAAGAAAGAGTTTCTAGCCGGGCGCGGTGGCTCAAGCCGGTAATCCCAGCACTTTGGGAGACCGAGGCGGGTGGACCACGAGGTCAAGAGATCAAGACCATTCTGGTCAACATGGTGAAACCCCGTCTCTACTAAAAATACAAAAAATTAGCTGGGCATGGTGGCGCGTGCCTGTAATCCCAGCTACTCAGGAGGCTAAGGCAGGAGAATTGCCTGAACCCAGGAGACGGAGGTTGCAGTGAGCCGAGATCGCGCCATTGCACTCCAGCCTGGGTAACAAGAGCGAAACTCCGTCTCA